GGCCTCGGGAGTCACGAGTCATATGAAAGATTCGTTCATATTGAACGAATCACTCGCGAACGACACATCACTATTACCAACCTGAGATGGTCCTGTAGCACCAGGCTGCCTTGTTGCTCTTGTAAGGAATTGTAAGGAATGATGCTGCCTTTCTAGAAGCATGAATCATGACTGGCTTCCAAAAATGAGATATTTTTTTATTCTGAAGATCCAGCTTTGCTGAGCCTCTAAGCCTGTCTAAAAAGGACCAGTAAGATGGCTTCTCTGCACCTCTCTCTGACCTTTGGGCTCTTCATCACCTCCCAGTATGTGAGGGGATTAGCCACCCCTCCAATCCTGTGGCCAGGTGGAGGTCCATGCTGGGTGGATACCCAGGACTAAATTATCCTCCGTCTTCCTCTTTAAATGAGGTGTCCTGAGGGGCACCAGGTAAGACAGGTCGCTGGGATCGGCAAACCCCTGTGGTCTGACACAAAAGAGGCAGAGGATCACCTGCCGATTGCGAGATCAAATGAGGGCTTGTCATAACTCTCTCCATTAATACTCAGGAAGACCAGAGTCTACTGTATAGACTCCCCTTGTCCTGGCCTCCCATAGACCCCAGACCCTGTTGACTCCTAACACCCATGTACTCCAGCCCAAGTCCCCTCGCAGTGGCCATCAAGATCTTAATTCCTGCTCTCAGCCCATCACCAAGTACTGTCTGCATAATGGGCCTATAATCAACCTCTGGCCAACGACTTCATATCTACAGGGCTGATCTGTGTGTGCGTATTCACATTCAGGTGCTTTTAATCCACTCCAATCCAGAGGCTTGCTAATTTGCAGATATAATTAATTCATTTTATGAAACATTATGATGTAGAGCCATATGAATGGAGTTGTTCTGCTAACAGCAGGAAGCAGTAATTTTACAAGCGCATGTACAGTGTGTCCCGTAGCTACAAGGTTAATGGTCAGGTGCTGTCTCTCTGCCAAATAACCTCATCAAACCGCTCCACATGGCAGGGTAAGTAAGGGGTGTGATGATCTAGGTGAACAACACAATGCCCCCTGTCACTCAGCCTCATTCCTGGGGGTGAAGAGGGACCAGGGAGGGTGTCATGGAGGCAGCCACAGGCCCTTGGCTCCCCATGATTGGCCTTAAGCCACCAGCTAATAAGTTCAGAGAGGGGCCATATGCTACGCTGCAATGTGCAGGGAGGGGAGTGTTGCCTCATGTTACTTACACCAGGCCGGCGCTTTCTCAGGTACTGCCCTCCCACGGTCTGCTCCTTTGTATGGGGGGATCAGCCCTCTCCACGCTGTGAATGGTCCGAATTGATTAAACCTCACCATGTAATTGTCAGCGTATCCCAGCGAATCATTTCCCATCCATTTGGAAAGTACAATGTACATTTCTTTTTTTCTCCTCGCCTCCATTCTTACCCAGCATCCCCACTTCTCAGCGCCCCCTCCCATTTTGTTCTTTTTTTTCTCTTTCCAAGACCCAGGTTGGTCCCTGACTGCCAATCTTGATCTCTACCATGAGAGAGCAATGTCAGAAGAACGGGAAGGAGGGGCAGAGGGAGAATAAAAAGCCACACGGGTGGAGAGGCATGGGGTTTGCCTGGCTGGACACTTGGCTGAAGATGAAAGTAGACTTGTTGAATTTTGTGGTACCTGCTGAAGCTCATTTAGGGCCAAGTCACAGGATTAGATGAACACCAGGTCGTTCTGAGTGTAGGTGTGTCTTATTAAATACCAGTGAGGGGTATAACTTATATTAAACGTTGATAAAAATGCACAGATTAAAAATTACAGAAAAAAGTTAAACTGTCCTGTGTCTGCAGCTGCTACTGCTACTTTTTGGGAATTTCCACCATAAGACAGAGGAAAACCTGTGGCTTCAGTCTTGGCTGAATGTGAAAAAAAATTAATCACCACTCTTTTTTTGTCCTCTTCCTGAAGTGTGACAATTGCAAATATTCCTGTAAAACATGGGACATACATGATGTGAAGATACCTGACATGAAGCAGATGCAACCAGTGGATGTGAAAACAGTAAATCATTCGCCCTGGGGTAAAATGTCATGCTTAAAAACAAACCGACAAAAATCATTATAACCTGTATGTCATATGTAAAAGATATAGACATAGCCTTAAACCTTGATGGCAAAAACTTGTTATTGTTGTTTAAAAATACTTTAAATATAAACTAAATAAAACTTTCCTGCATACTTGTTTAGTTATCCAACCATTTGAGTTAATGATTAAACCAATCCTCTGTTTTTTATAGTTTATTTGAACAAAAGAAATTCTACTAAACTCATCTCTTTCCTAATTCCAATTGTTACTCTTGAAATAATTTGAAATATTTTTTCTTTAATGAATATATATTTTGATTTGTAAATAAATAAATAAAGAATGGATAATTAAAATAATGTTTTTTTTTTACAAAACCTCAAAGTTTTAAATTTTTAAAATAGATTATTATTTCTTATAAAACAACTGGTCATTGGTATAGACTGACCACAGACCAGTCTTCTCCTCTGACACTTGTTCTTCCTCTAATCAATCCCCTATTATGAGCAAACATGTTCAACACCCATTCATTGATCTGAGAGGTCCCTTAACAGAGGTTTCACACCCTCTGACCCCACTCACTTAACCCCTGACCTCAGTCTTCGCCTGAGTGTCCCATTACAAGGACTCAATTTATTTGGTATAGCCTGTGGCTTCAGGGTGGCTTGTGTGGACATTTTTGATTTTCTTATACCAATATTTATATGCTTATTCATTGAAGAATATTAATTCATTTCAATTAAAGATAATAACATATAGTTTTTATTTAATATGCAGTCATAGTATAAGACATGGTTCCCATTTTTAGAGGCATCAAATCAACATTTTCCCATCCAGCAAGAATAAAATAATTCATGTAAAATTGTTGTTATGGAGGGTGACATTTGACTGCAACTTCATTTATGTACCTATATTTGATTATCTAATCAGGCAACATGTCATTCACTATAATGGGTTTTGTGTTATCACACTCCTTCTCTCAGCTGTCCTCTACACCTTTCGGGGTCATCTACATACACATGCGTGCCCTATCTCTAATCTCGTAACCTGACTCTGATTTTCAGCTTTGATGCTCGGCTTTCATTACGGGTTGAGGGGCATTGTTTGTGCACTGTTAAAAATATCTCCGTGGTTCAACTTAAAATCACAAGTTTACCAGCTGCCTCAAAATTTCAAGTTTATTGAAATCCTTATTTTAAGTTCTGTCAAGCTTTAAATTGCCTTCTGTGAGTCATCATGACTGTACAGTTATTGTTGTTTCAACTAAGCTGTGTACGTTCAGAATAACGCGAACTCGATTATGAGCACTGTGTTCACTTATCCCCATTAGTGCTGTCAACTTAATAATTTTAACTAAAAGTGTTTTATTCATCAATATGCATTCTGTACACGTACCCTGATAACTGGGTTCAATCTTGTAATTTCAATTAAATAATGTCTTTCACATTTCTTTATTAGAACTATTATAACCAATGTCAAAATACAGATACATACAACAGACAGGCAGAAGCACCAAAAAAACAGAGCGATGCATACAACACAACACAAAAAACACACACTTTAGTCATTTTAATAACATTGTATTAAAGTATAAAGTAACTGGTTAGAACGTTATTGTGATGCCTTTTGTTTAGCAATTTAACGGAATGATTTAATGGAATGCACAGGTATGCTAAAGTCTCTAAGGGATGTCTAAACAATGGTTGCCGTGGCTCCGTGAAGTTCTGTCAAGCTGCATGCCCTTCATAGCTGCTGCTGGAGTCTCACCATGGACCTTGAAAAGCAAAAAAGAATTGTGTGAATGTTTAGGTTAAATACCTAATATGCATACAAAACTATCGAATTTGGTACACATACTCTTGAAGGGGTTACATGTAGAAAATTGTACGCCTGTGTATATATTGTGCTCAGAAGAGGTGCATATTTAGGCCTGATCACAATTGTGACCGCTGGGAAAATACATTGTCAAGAATTCCTATAATGAAGCCTATTCACACACTTAGACTAATAACGGCTACTTACTCACTTGAAATCTTAAAATGAAAGTAGTTATGACAATACCCACTAAGTAGAGAATCATGAGATATGGTTAGGTTTATTATGCATATCCTTATTCTGTAAACAAATGTTGAAAAGTATTCAATATATCTCTATGGACAACATAGTCCGTTTTTACTGTCTAAAAACAGACTATGTATGTTCCCAGCGGTCACAATTGTGACTAACTATAAAACTTAAAATTTGAGCAACTTAACCAACATACAATGAAAGAAAGAAATGTTAGACATTAGACATTAGAAAGGTCTAAAGAGTAAAATCTATGTACTAAACTTTTCAGAAAAAAATCAGGATGAAATGGGTTAATCCAATCTATGTGTTTAAGGTTGTGTGTGTGACTGTGTGTGGTATGTGTGTAGGTGTTGTACATGTGGGTGTGTATGTATGTGGGCTGTTATGCAGGTGAGAAATCTTACGTCACACATCCTGATGATGTTTGAGGGCTTTTCTGAAAAATAGTGTGGCAGACCCAGCAGAGCCGCAGTCCTTATCCTTTCGTTTGTGTCCTACTGGAGAAAAATAAACAGTATTCAGATTTTATTGTAAACCAAAGACCTGGTGCCAAATTTTACAATTATCAGCTCATCCACTGACCTCTTTCTTCAGACAAAAAGATCCAATTCCAAAATGGCCTTCAGTGCACCACCAAAAACAGCATCAGCCATGCTCTCTTTGGAAATAATGAACAAAAGACTCAAAATAGTGATATCCATTCGAACAAAATTGGATTAAGTGATTAATCTCAGACTCAGTGTTGTCTATTGTTACAGAACATGGCCGGCCATTTTGCCATAACATCCCCGATGAGAGGTTGATCCCCACAATCTCCTTTCTGCGCTTGGAAAACGTGGCAGACATTAACTCATCTATCTGCTTGTGATCTGGGTCTTTTTTCAGTACTTCCACCTGAATTGAATTGCACAAAGGACACATAGTAAGACAAAATAGCAGGCTTCACAGACACAAGAGCAAAGTGTAGGTAGTCAGTATACTACAGGCAGGGGTGTATGCAGTAATATTACACAGGAATTATGTGCATATGTGTGTATGATGTACCTGAATCATCAACTGCTTTCTTCCATGTCTTCAACACTCAGTCCTTCTGAGGGATCACAGTAGTGTAGCTCACAATAACAAATTGTGAATAAATGTTTCATTTTTAGTTCACATTAAGTTTTATTTCAAATAAAAATAACTGTGAATGAAGCTCATTTTTTACACAAACCTGTGACTGAAGAATGTCAAATGATAATTTTTACTTTGCCCCTGTCCAAACTTTTTGTAAAATTTTGGAGGATTTATTGTTCAAAGCAGTTTTGTTTAAATCACAAAAATGTGTTATTTATCCTTTATACCATAGGAGTCAAAATCGAGGCTTGTGAGTCATATTCAGCTCCCCTTGTCATTTTATGTGACCCAACAGAGCTTAACTTAGAGAATATCTTGAAACAAAAGTCCATAATGATGTTAACTGGATGGGTTAAAATTCCAGTTTTGAATTCCATTTTTTATTTATTTTATTGAAGAATAAGCCGATCAAGATTTCAAATTCAATATTTTTGGTTAAAGCATTGTCTGAAGTAGTCTGTTCAATAAGTGTTCATTTTGTTTGGCCCAATCTCAGCCACTTGAGTGATTGGGTTTACTGCTGCTTTAGACTGTAAACAGAGGTTCAAGTGGACTCAATTTTTTTTTATTTTTAACTAAACATTTCTAGTTAAACTGTTCTCCATCAGTGTTGAGTCTTTTCAGGGTTTGCAGCTCATCATGTCCAGTGTCATTAACCTTTATATTGTCCAGCCTAGACCGTTATTGATGTCCACTAACTGACACTGGTGTCCATCAGTAAGAGTCTCCTGGGAATGAGGTCATGTTGTGTGGAGCATAACCTCTGAACCCTGGTGACCACAGCAAGCTGACCTGCACATGTGCCCTTGTGCCAGAGAGGCCACAAATGGGACCTTGTCAAAACCTTGAGCAAACAATTTAGGGTCATTGTCTGTAAATGGGAAAACAAACTGCCTGACTACAATTATATTAACTGTAAATAAGGGGCTAAAGAAGAAATAGGTCACTACTAAAACCTGTAATGGCAATTATGCAATTTAAAAATAAAAAAATATATATATTTAAATGTTCAGTTTGATTGAATGATGAGTTAACAAGTATTAGTTATTTTAACAAATAGAGAAAGAAATTACTGATTTGTGAGGAAATGTTTAAAAAGCTTGTAATGCTAATAAAACCCCGTTTTCACAATTACACCAGAATAAGTGAGTAATTGAGGCGAGCAGGGGGCAGCATGGGGTCATTTTCTGGCTTGCTGCTCCTCTAAAGGGCTTTGGAGCACAGTATTGGCCCCTGGAGGAGTGCTGGTGTGGAAGACCATACAAAGGCCTTTGTATACGACTGTGTGTGTGTGTGTGTGTGTTTGCAAGTGAAGGAGATTAAGGAAGAGATGTGTGACTGCACAACTCAGTAGCTTTGTCAGGTAAGCAGCAGAAAGAAGGACGGCGATGATTCAGTAATTTTTACTGTTATTTTCTTTGGTGTAATTTCATTGAAAAGAAAAAAAATCTTGACTGAAATAACAAATTGTATGAACATTCTTCCTGCTATGGTTAATTTCAGAGGTTGTAGAATAGTATTAGCAGACAGATTTACATAATTTCAGATTTGTTAATTTCAGTAAATTAAAATGTTCTTTGTTATTTGACAACACTGAGAATCTGCTGTATTGATAAACAAATTCCCCATGCTCCCGCCTCACAAAGCAGATGTGAATTTACATTTTCCTCCTCTTGTAGTCCCTGTGACGTAATTTGGAGCCAACATGCCGGGGTTTTGAATAATAAATAGACATCAGCAGAAATGAATAAATAAAACATATCATTCTGCCATTATCACTCTTTTCTCTCTGTGTCTACATGGCAGAGAAAAAATACAAGCCGCATTCCTACTTAATGCGAGCCTGCTTGTATATTCAGGGTCCGACAGATTTTTTTGTTCTTACAGGACTGTGTTTTTGCAGAATGGATGTGAAATGTATAACGTGACTAGGGCTGTGTTGATTTGGTGATAGTGGAGAAATGATAGAGAGATCAGAGGAGTGAAAGACCCTTGCAACCCTGCTCCCCAATCTCTCTCTCTCTCTCTCTCACTCTCTCACTCTCACATCCACACACACACAGCCTCACCGACCACTACCACTTTTCCTGATGAGTGAAAAGTCAGGAGCAACAGAGTAGAATGCCAAGGGAGAAATGGTCTCTGGTGTACAGTGTGCACAGAGAGGATTGGTTCAGTTTCTCTCCTTCTTGGTGCAGTCTGCATGTGTGGTGAGGATTGGCAGCCATTTTGTTTTTATGCATTAAAGATCCGCCATGATCTCTTCACATCCATTCATGTGCTACTATTTTTTTCAGGTCGTCCCCTGGGAGGAGGACGAAGAGAGATAAAATTCACACACGCGTTGAATTTTATTCTGCTGCTCTTTTTTTTTCTCCTTAAATCACGCCCTTTTGATTAAGCATTGACCATGTTTTTTGTACTGTGACACAAAGTAACAATAAACATTTGGGAAAAACGTGAACTCAAACATGTACCACAGAACATTTATATATATACACGGCAACAAAATGTGAAAAGTGTAGTACAATATTTAATTCAAGCATTTTTAGGAATAATACAAAATAATAGATTTTTTTGGTGTTTTAACAAGGTTAATTAAAAGATAATTCACAAGTTTACCCAATTTCCTATGATAACATGATTTTACTGCCCAGAGCTACAAAGCAAGCTAATTTACCTCCACACTCCATAGGTTTAGCCCTCTATCACAATTCGCGTGGGCTGCTGAATTTGAGAGACATTCACTGCCCTTTTTTTTTTCTATCTGCGCTCCCAAAGCCTGAACCTGAACTCAGGATTGCCGGCGTAGATTTATATGCATGCCCCTTCTTTTATTTGACTTGGTAAATATTCCCCCAGACACTCTAGATGCCCCCCCCCCCCTCCTCCCCTCCTCCATCATTACCCACGTGCTGTGTGTTTGCCTACCAATTAAATTCTTAAAAGGATTGTTTGGTGAGATGAATGGAGGCCAAAGTTCTGAAGGACATACCTGAGTTCAGCAAACAAAACCTGTTCTGATTGGCTCGACAGCTCCTTGGTCCAGTGGGTGAAGCTAGAAGCGAGGAGGTGAGAGGGTGGATTATAATAAATAAAAAAAGTGCTGTAAGGTTCTCTCTGTCATTTAGACGTCAGTGAAAGGCTGGGAGGTGGGGAGCATCCACTTGTGCCTGCCATCTCTGCAGTCCTGTTGTGATTTGAGATAGCTGTGGTGGCGTTCGCTTCAAGTAGAAATAACCCTGTCAATATTCATCTATTTAATAACCCTGAATGTGCCGCCCGCAGTGCCTTTTGAAGACTGTAGGGTCTGCATTTCCCTTTGATGTTCTTTCATTATCAGAGTCTCTATCTGAAATCTTCCAAGATGACATTTTCTCTTTCTTTATTCATCCAATCCAACTTCAAAGGTTTCAAGCTTTATTTCTCTAGTCCACTGTGCTTTTGTTGTATAGAAAATGAGGGGAAGGTGGGCATTCAAGTTCCCTACTAGGATTTCTATCACAGGCTAATGGAACACCAGGAGATTTAGGCAAGGATGTAGCAGACAAAATATACAAGTAACCCTATATGTGTCTATTACACCGAGGCTCAGAAGTCAATAGCTGCAGTTTAATTCATTCCTGGAAAGTTTGTGAAATGCACATCAACACACACCGACCAGTGAGTACATCATGTCTGGAACAAACTAAAATCAGTTTGGTTAATTACTTTAGCCCTGTCAGCATTTCTGGTAAAAAAAAATGATGAAAATATCAAAGAAACTGCTCCTGCACATTGAGCAGTGGTTTCCACCTCTGATTGTTTGATATAAAACACCATGTTACAATGATGAGTGCCCCATAGACTTAACACTTCTTAGGGAAATCACATAACAAGATCTGCTATTTCAGTCTGACCAAGACTGTATCGTGAAAATAAGATGTACTGTGTATGTATATATAAACAGGCAACACAACACAACAATAACAATCCCAGAATCAATACCAGGTTGTGATGGTGAGAGTGCCAAATCCTGGCCACTAGACCACCAGGGACAGTGTTTCATTTTTATCTACACGTACTGTATGTTGTTTTTAAATAGCTTTTTTTTTCATTTACACTTGTGTTTTTATGTGAGATGTATGTTTGCCAAAAAAACAGCCCATCATTATGTCTCGCCAGTATTTGGTGATAAAATTGATACAGTTGAAAGAAAATTACATATTTCAGGTAAATGTGTGAGTATTATGAAGGTATTTTGTGGCATCAGTCATTTGGCTTCAAATTGAGACAGAATCCCATCAGATTCAATAGAGGAAAAATGGTCTTTTCTTTTCTAGAGTTTATTTTAAGTTTTTATTAGAGTGTGTGACAAAGTGACTTTTTTCAGTGAGAGGAAATTACAGTTCACCTGGAAAAGTGACCACAAAGGCAAAGCAATTTGAACTTATCTCCCAATGTAGATTTAATACCACTAAATCACTCATGTTACTTTATTTAAACCATTCATTGTAGACACTGAATAAAATGTCACAGTAGATCACAGATTTAGTCTGACTTAAAATGTAAGCAGCTACGAAACTGAGGAAAAGGTTCAGATAAAAAAGACCACTTTTCCAAATCACTAAGAGCATAAATAACAAGTGCAACTTTTGTGTTGATTGAAAGAGTCAAAATGTTAGTTATGCACAGGATTAGTGGAGATTGTATCATATCTGTCTAGAATGTTTCTATATTTCTATGTAAGAAAAAATGTATTTTTAATGTTTTTAGTTATAAATAAAACCATGTAAAGGAAACAAATAGAGGTCATACAAGTATTTATGTACTACAGCTAACAAGGGACAAGACTTATTTTTTTTCATTTTTAATTAAAATCCATTTATTAAAAAATACTTTAAAATTAAGAATTGTAACATGTATTTAATTTCTGCGGTTATTTTGACTTGTTTTTTCAAAAATAAATATCATTATGTTCGAGTTCTGTATATGGCAGTACAATCTGAAAATATTATATATATAGTCAAA